GTGTGTGTTCACAAGGCCTGTCCTTGGTGTGTGCTCACAAGGCCTTTCCTTGGTGAATGTGGGTGGAGAAAAAGAGGAAACAAGCTTCCTGGTGTTGGGGCCCAGGACAGGCCACCTCAAGGTGTTCCACAATGGCATATTGACTATTTTGAGTTAAAGTTACTTAAAAAGCAAAAAGGGCTTTCTGACCCTCCTGTCTCTGTTCCCCCTGAAAGCAGGAAATAAATCTCCCATGTGAAAGGTGCTCTCCCTACATCCTTATCACTAGAGCTAGGGGATTGAAGGCCGAGAAGCCTTCAAACAAACCTTTCTAATTACGTACCCCAAACCTAAGTTTCTTTGTCCTGTCAATTCTTCACAAATTTATTGTTTCCTTGTTTAAAAGATATATACACTGCCTGCTTTGTTCAATCTCCGAGCTTCATCTTTATGATTCTCCCATGTGCACGTAATTAACTAGGATTTTTCTCCTGTTAATCTGCTCTTGTGTCAATTTTACTATTAGTCCAGCACAAGAAAACAAGGGAAGAAAGGGCATTTCCCCCACCCTAACATTGGTGTCTTCTTATAAGGGCACTAATCCCATCATGAGGGCTCCATCTGCATGACCTCATCTAAACCCAATTACCTCCCAAAGGCCTATCTCCAATACCATCTCATTAGGGGTAGGGCTTCAGGATATGAATTTGGGGGTACACAATTCAGACCCATGGCAGATGGGGAGGGAGAGTAGGATCCAGATCACTGGAGTAGAGAAGGACAAGGAACTGTGTAGTTATTGGTTATTGGAGTGATCATCTATGAAATCACAGAAACGTTAGAGAAAGTAACAGTGAACTAGGATTTAAAATTCTTAAAGAAGAGGAGGTCCCTAGGATCTGTAGATGATTGCAGCAAGGAGGACATTGTTTGGCACAGTCCAATGGCATGAGATTCAGAGCTGAGCGTTTTTAGGAAAGAGTGTGGAATAACAGTCACCCTCATGCCAACCCATAAGGGGAGTGTGGGAGAGAAAATAGCTTCTATTTGAAGAGGCTTCAGAGAAAGAGAAATTCTCAAGTTAGCCTGTGAGCAAGAAGGTGGAGACAGAACATTCACAGCAGAAGCCCAATGGACACTTACCAGGAAAGATACTTTATTTACCTGCACACAAAGCTTCACTGGCCTTGAGGGATCAGTCAACCTTAACTTGGAAAGTCTTGGCCATGTTTTCACAATTATAAGAATTGCCTTGTCTGATTTTTCTTTTATCAATATCTAAGATTCTGGGAATTGTATATAATTAGAATTTTAATAAGTAAGATGTTAAGTGCAGTAGGGGAGTCTATTATTTAAAGAAGCCTAATGGTAAATCTTTCCGTGAAGTGCCGTGTCTTTATGAACCAGATTTCCCATGTTCTCTTCACTGACAGGTCCACCATAAGGAACAGCTTCGACTGTGAGAAGGGGAATCACAGAGGCCATGAGGGGCTGACTGTGTGAGGACCAGGGTCGGGTCCTGGGGCAGATGCCAACAGTGGGAGTTATCGGCTGTGCTGATGCTGCAGCCAGGGGGATTTCATTACTGCTCAGGAGGAGTCAACAGGCACCACTGGACCCAGACAGGGGGAGGGGGAGGACACTGAATCAGCATTTTTTTTTTTTTTTTTTGGCACTGTGTTATCTCCACGATGCTGGTTTCTCTTTTCCAAATTAACGTTTTCTGGGTTGACTTTGCATTCCTCCTTCATTAATATTATACTAATGATGGATGATGGCTATCTGCTGAAAGGAAGTTCTGGAATGCCACTCTACCTTATGCAAATCTGAAAAAAAAGTGATTTTGCCCACCAGAAATAACTATTACTTTGCTGGAAGAGATGTATTATAGAAGAATGGCTAACAATTTAAATTTAAATGAGTAGACATTTTGTAGCTAGTCGAGATGGTGGAGGTGGGGAAAAAGGGTTTGTAGAGTGTGAACGTTTAATGGTCTACAATAAGGTTGGCAAATACTTGATTCCAAACTCCTCTTCCCTCCTTCACCACCAAACCACAGCGGACACTAATAATCAATCTTCTCATTATTTCCCACTGGGCTTAAAGGAGGTCACACATTCTTGAATACATTTTTCCAGGCACCATTCCTAATCAATTGGCTTCAGAAAGAAAGGCAAGATGGAGCCATCATCTCAGGTCTAGATGTCGTCTGTGCTTCAGGGGAAGTTCAATGTCCTTGTTATGTTCTTCAAGGGAAGCTGTGTCCTTGACCCACCGTCAACGGTTGTAAATGTGGTTGATTATTCAATAACGTTTATTTTTTATTCTGACTATGAATTTTATTGTGTCCCGTGAATATGGGATATATCCCTCAGCAGTTTGTAATGTAGATATATTTACACAGAGCCTCTGGTATTGGGAGATGATTATCTGTACAGTAAATCCTCTGTGGTGATTATCGTGATTGTATATAAGATTTGGTTTAATAATTTGAAATCTGTATTTCTAATATAATAAATAAATAGACTTTTTGGTTAATAACATTATGTCTAGTATTTACACATGAATAGATATTTGTTTATAGTTTTCTCCTACTGATTTCAGTGAGAAATTTTTCTTGGTAATTTAAATATGTTTATTTAAAATCCCATTTAATGTGAAAAATGCATTTCATCATATAATTATATGGTTTAGAGTTTGGAGAGATCTTAGAGATTATCTATTCTACCCTAAAAAGTAATACAGAAATTTCCTCTGGAGCATTTCTTACAGATAGTCACTCAAATTTCTTAGAATATAATGGGTAAGAGGGAGGTTGCTATCTCTCTAGATAGCTCATTTAGTGTGGGGGCAACTGTAATTATTAAAAGTTATTTCTTTTTTAAAAGCAAATCCCAAATATATTATTTCACCCTTAAATACTTTAACACATATATTTTTTAAGTGGAGGAGAGATTTGCTAACAAAACAACTACACTATTGTTACATCTAATAAAATTTAAAAAGGCAAAATGGATTAAATAATTATTGAAAAAAATATGGTTGGTTTAGCTGGGTGAGTGGTAAATGGGCATCATCATGCTCTCTACTTTTTGATTTGAAATTTTCCTAGTGAAATGATTTAAAAAATATTACTAGAAGTAACCAAAAGAAAGTATAGGGGGCCGGCCCGGTGGTGCAAGCAGTTAAACACGCGCGCTCTGCTGCGGCGGCCCGGGGTTCGCTGGTTTGGATCCCGGGCGTGCACCGACTCACTGCTTGGCACTGCTTCACACTGCTGTGGCAGCGTCCCATATAAAGTAGAGGAAGATGGACATGGATGTTAGCCCAGGGCCAGTCTTCCTCAGCAAAAAAAAAAAAAGAGGAGGATTGGCAGATGTTAGCACAGGACTATCTCCTCACAAAAAAAAAAAAAAGAAAGTATATATATATATATATTTCATAAAAAAACAATCTTACGTTGAGTGGAAATCTGCCATTTTGTAATTTAAACCCATTTCATCCACCAGAGCTTTAGTGTGCATTTAGGTTATCTGGAGGGCTTGTAGTAACAGATTGTTGTCCTCCACAATCCCCAAGACACTGGCATGTCTTAGCTCTGTGGTGATACTAATGTCTAGGGCCTCACTTTGAGGACCACTGGCTCATGGTAGCTCTAGTGCAGCCCGTGCTGTGGCCTCAGTACCATAAATAAGAATCAGGCAGCAAGTCAGCTTCTATGCCATGTTCTTGTGCATCACTTTACATTTCCAAATGTAGATACACAGGAACTTTACACAGCCTGCCCACCTGAACTGAGCTTTTGACTAGATATAAGTATGAATTCTACATATGAACATGTGCCTTTTACCATGCAAATGAGAATTTAAAATACTTTTACTGCCATGGAAAACCCAATTATTCTGATCCCTGAATTTAGCTGGGGTAGGTAAATAATTGTGGTAGGATGGTAGCATCTTCCTGGATTGACAAGGTTGGCACCTCTGTAGGCCCGGTAATCATTTCAGTGCCAGTTATATTTGCTACACACTTTTACTTCTAAAAACTCATTTACTCACCTGGAAGATATAGGTGAAAACATAATTTAGAAATGATATGTGCATTTTTCACTTTTATATTACTCTAAGGGTTGAAGCAAGTTTTCCCTTCACAGTAGCTTCAGATGAGAAACCTGAAGAAACTGACTTTACTCATGATTGGCAAAGCTTTTAAAATGCCGATCTTAGGAATCATTTGGGATAAGGACATCTTGAGGAGACTTTGGTTTCCTCAGCAAATACGTATTGAGCTCTGTCTGTGTATAAGATAGTATGTTAGGTATACAGGATATGCAAAGATGAAAAGACGTGGATCTTGCATTCATGGCACCAGTGAGTAAGCGAGATATAATGTGTACGGAAGTAACTTCAAGTTATCTTCCATGCTCAGAGAGTTCCACAAAAGCTGCTGTTTACTGAACTCAGAATGTGCTCATCTGAAAATGCAGCTATGAGATATTCTCAGTTCTACTTCCTTATTTCTCTCCTTCACACCTAAGCTTCTGGAAACTCTACTTTGTATTTGTTTCCTTTTCTTTCTTATCTCCAATTTACTTCTTAACCTACTGCAATTTGGCTTCTGCTCAAATAATTCCCCTGAAAACTCCTCTCAACAAGGTCATTAGTGATGATTTTAACTGCCAATTAAAAAAAGAAGTTTAGAGATTTTTTTATCTTACTAGATTTTTTTGCTGACTTAGTAGAGTTGGCAAATTTCCCTGAAGATTTCTATTCCCTTGAAATCCATGACACCCTGCTCTCCTGCTTCTTCTACTCTAGCGACTGGAGTAAGATCTTAATGAGAGCAACCTAGTCTGTTTAATCCTTTTTGTTGTTATATCACCCAAAGCTTGGCACATTACAGGTTTGGTGTCCTCCGGGAGGAGTTAGGACAACCGGCCATGAGTCTTCAACAGCAAATGTATTCTGGACATTTTCTGTATGTAAGCATTTTTTAAAGGCACTATGAGAGAAAAAATGAGGAGGATGTGTGTATATTCTAAAGGAATTTACAATCTCTAGGATACTATGTAATCAAATAACCACATGATAAGGAAGATTAAGGCACAAGCTGTAAAAGAAGTAGCAAGTGCTATTTAGAGTTTCTTTTTGGGAAATGTGGCCATCAAGACAGCTAAAAGCCTTCAGTTTTTTAGGAGGAGGGTAGAGACATTGATTAACTTGAGACTTTATGTAATCAGGCGTGTTACAATTTTAAGAGTGACTACTAGAATAAATTGAATTTACAATCTCTAGAAAGTAAAATGAATGGGAAACATGAAGTTAACAGAAAGTGAGGTTAAAATTCCTGAAAACAGCAGGACAATTAGAAAGCACAAAATAAGATGTTAGCAATAAGTCCAAATATTTCAGTAGCCATAATAAATGTAAATGGATTAAACTGCCAGTTAAAAGAAAAAGATGGTCAGACTTGATAAAAATAATTTTTTAGCTATTAGTACCAATGATGATCCATGTGGAAAAAAATTATCACTCCAGATCCTATAGCAATCACTTCCATATGATTTAAGGAACTAAATCAGAAAAGCAAAATTTGCAGTCTCTTAGAAGAAAATAAAGGAGAACACATATGACCACAAGATGAAGAAGTATTTCTTAGATAAGACATAACAGCACAAGCCACAAAGGGGAAAAATGACTACACTTTTTTTTTTTTTTTGGTGAGGAAGATCAGCCCTGAGCTAACATCCATTGCTAATCTTCCTCTTTTTGCTGAAGGAGATTGGCCCTGAGCTAACATCTGTGCCCATCTCCCTCTACTTTGTATATGGGATGCCACCACAGCATGGCTTGATGAGTGGTGGGTATGTTGACACCCAGGATCCGAAGCCAAGCACCCTGGGCCGCTGAAGCAGAGGGTGTGAACTTAACCACTACACCACCGGCTGGCCCTAACTACACATTAAATTGACTACACATGTGTAAATTATTTAATTTGTGTGAAGCATAATTAGACAATAAATATTAGCTAGAATAGTATTATTTTTAAAATTCTGTTCATCTAATGAAAACAAAAAACTACAAAGATAAGCCAAGGTTGAGCAAAGATATTTGAAAGTGTAAGATGATAAAGGTTAGCATCCAAAATTTTAAAACTCTCTTACACTATATGTAAGGAGAAGACAATTCAATTGAAAAATTGGTAAAATAGGTGAACAGGCAATTTTCGGGAGAAGAAAGACAAGTGTCTAATAAACTTGTTCAAGTTCATATATAATCTGGAGAGTACAAATTAAAACCACAATAAGAAACAAGTGATATATCTCAGATTAGCAAAAGTTAAAAATCCCTGAAAGGGGCCGGCCCTGTGGCTTAGCGGTTAAGTGCGCGCGCTCTGCTGCTGGTGGCCCAGGTTCGGATCCCGGGTGCGCACGGATGCACCGCTTCTCCGGCCATGCTGAGGCCGCGTCCCACATACAGCAACTAGAAGGATGTGCAGCTATGACATACAACTATCTACTGGGGTTTTGGGGGGGAAAAAAAAAGAGGAGGAGGATTGGCAATAGATGTTAGCTCAGAGCCGGTCTTCCTCAGCAAAAAGAGGAGGATTAGCATGGATGTTAGCTCAGGGCTGATCTTCCTCACACACACACAAAAAAAATCCCTGAAAGCACCAAGTTTTCGTGAGAATGTGGAACAATGAGAACAATGCTAGGAGTGAATATTGGAACAAATCCTACAACTCAGTAATTTAACTTCTAGGTATATAAACTCAGAAAAAAATCTGGAATATATGTACAAGAAAATGATTTTAGCAACATTGCTTGTAATAGTAAAATACAGTGGAAGCAATTTAAATGTCTATCAGCACAGAGAATGGATCAAACAATTATATATTATGACAATGAAATATTCTATATTGGTAAAAATAAATAAGTTAGGATCACATTTATCAGCAAGGCTGAGTGTTGAGCAAACACTCCTCCCCTACAAATCCCCCTAAGTCATAGGATATGATATACATCATGACATCATTTCAATATTTTTTGAAAATGAGAAACCATATTATTTGTTATTTAGGATTACATACATATATAGCAAAATTATAAAGAATGCACATGAGTGAAAAATACCAAAATTATGTTCTTGGTTACCTCTGTGACAGGAGAGGAATTCCTTTGGGGAAGGGTACACTGAGATCCTCACTATGTTTTCAGTTCTTTATTTGTTAGTTATATTCCTCTCTATACCTTCTTATATATTTGAAATATTTCAAAATATATGGTTTTTGAAGGACTATAAGAGCTGGGGGAGGGTGGCAAGATCCACTTTGACTGGAGGGAATCAAGGATGGTAACAAGCTTGCCAAAGAGGCCAAGGGATGAAAGGCAGAGATGGGAGTGAAGAGGGAACCACAGCTCGAGAAGACTCCATGAGCTTCTGCCCGGAAACTACGAGCAAGCTCAGAAAACCAAGGATAGCCTGGTTCCATGAAACATGGAGACGGGTAGAGAACAGGAGGAAACATAATTTAGGGTGCTTCAGGAAAAGCTTTGACTATTAGGGTTTTCTATTTTTTTCATATACAGTAGAGAGATATTTAGGGCTTATTAGTAGGGAATTGTAAGATTTGGTGTGTGCTTTAGAAATACTAAAATGGTACAGAATTAATCAAGACTTGGAATGTAAAAATGATAAATCTGATACGTGAAGATACTTGAGAAACCACTGCAGTATTCCAGGCAGGAGGTGACGGAGAGTTACCTGCACATAGGAGAGGGCACTGGAAGTGGAGAGGAAGAGGTGGGCGTGAGAAACAGTATTGAGGTAAGAGTGAAAACTTCAGGGTCTGAGTGAGCGTGGAGGGTAGGGACGACATGTAAGATTCGCAGATAACTCGAGGCTCTTGAGGCTAGATAGCAGAATAGTTACTGCATTAATGGAAACAAATAGCAGGAGAATGCACTGGTTTTGAAAAGAAAGTTCAGTTTTACACACACTGAATTTTGTATATTCCCTGTAGAGATATTGAGAAGGCAACTGAGAACCATGTATCTGCTCAGTGGTGATATTAGAAGACAAGTACAGTAGTTATGATTCCATCCAAAGGAAACAAGTAAAGGAAATATTGGTGGGAATAGAATCTTCTAGAATGACTATTTTTAGAATGCTGGAAGAGAACCAGGAAGAGTTGCATAACCATTGCTAAGAAAGGGACTAAGGAAGTGGTCACAGCATCATGCTGACGTGAGGTGAGGAAGTAGAACTGAATTTCTTTTCCCCCAAAGTTGTATATCCTAGCTGTACGTGTTTCTAGCTCTTGTGTGTGGGACGCCGCCTCAGCATGGCTTGATGAGCGGTGCGTAGGGCTGCGCCTGAGATCTGAACTGGCGAACTCTGGGCCACCAGAGCGGAGCACATGCACTTAACCACTATGCCACCAGGCCGGCCCCTAGAACTAAATTTAATGATTTACAGGTCACTGTGCCTATTGAGAGTGGTTTTTAAAAAATGGCTAAA